ATACTTTATTATAATATAGAATGTTATAATAAATGTGGGCCTAAAATAAATGTAGTTCATCATTGCATATTACATTTACCTAACAGGCCACTGGACACAAATACACCTTCATAATCAAGAAAACATAGTTTCCCATGTAGTTAACTATAACATTTTTCAGAAGTACTGGTATTTCAGTACCATTCAAAATGGGATGGTATTACTCACAATTTCCATGTACAGACATTTGACTTTGTTTATACTTTTAAAACCCATGAGTGTGTAGAATTCAAAAGCTTGATCATTGGACTTAGATTCTGTATCTAAGAAACATTCAGTATTCAATTATGCTAACAATAAACTTTATGCAAATAAAATGCATATATTTTATTAATAATTATTAGGATTGGAAAGAATAATGAGCATTATGTCAGGTCAGATGAATTTCCACAAATAACATCTGGTCTTTGGTGTTAAGATGTGAATGCTTTATGATTAAGAAACTCATGGCAGCCAGTTAAAATATTTCTATCAGGTTTATTTCCATTTCTTCACCTAAGCGCTCCCACAAACTTAGATATTTGTAGTAGATGACATCTGTGGGAAGTAGGTTCAAACTGACAGGACTTTTTCAGACACTCTGCTGACTGCTGACTGTTGACTGCTCCAGACTTGGATTAACCCTATAGCATCTGGATCCATTTGCCTTTGTATTTGCTGACCACTCCTTTTTCTGATAATCTATATTAGAGAATTAGACAAATGTGGGAGGCCAACCTTACAGGTGACTGAGTTACACTCCCCAGCTGGGTGCTGAGGCGCTCAGTCACAGAAATGGGTGTGTCTTGCTACAGCTCCATGGGTGAAGCTATGCTCACCTGTTCCTTTGTAATATAACCCCTTGCCCTGTTTAGGATAGAATCTTCCATGGAAGTGCCTTGTGTGTGTCCCCTCCTCTTACTGTGCCCTTGGGTGTGGCCTACCCAGGTGTCAGTCAACCTGCTGACAGTGGACATCATGAAGATAGGCTCAGCCCCTGAAACCTGACCCCTTGCCTCATTTGAATAGCTTCTCCTCAATAAAAGGGGTCAGCACGTGCTCTCGCTCTTTCTCTTTCTGCGGACCCTTAAGGTCAGAGGAGCCGTCACAGCGACCCCAAAGAAAAAGGTATTTGTGTCTCTTGTGTGGTTATTTCGTGCAGCCCAGTTAGCCCAGTTTAACTAGAGTGACCCCTGAGCCTTTTAGTCGCGAGAACAGAAATCCGGCAGACAAAAATACTTGACTTTCCCACACATTCACTTCCTATCATTAACTGAATTTTCAAAGTAGCAATTGAGACTTTTTCCATAGATCTCAAAGTAAATTGCAAAATTCTCCAGCTTTTAAGTCCCATTTCATTTTCATTCATTTTAATAGAGTGCAGCATGGAGTTCTTTAAAAAGAGGAAAGGGTATTGTGGAATCAAATAAGCATTCCATGGATGTTATGGGGGAAGTATACATTTTTTAAAAAAATATATATATATATTTTAAGTGCAAGCTAGAAATGCTTAAAAAGTGTTAGAAGTGGAGCTTAATGGCTGATTCTGGTGGGAGCTCAGAAAGCCAGAATGCCAATAGAACCATGAACAGTGATGACAGGGCTCAGGAAAATTCAGAGGAATAAATACTATTGGGAATTGACCTAGAGGCCATTCATGTTATATTCTAGCTGAGAAATTGTCTGCATTTTTCTATATCCTGAGACTTTCTGTGAGGCTGATTTTAAAAGCAATAAACTTTTTTTTTTTTTTATAATTGTAACATTTATTTTTTAGTTTTCGGCGGACACAACATCTTTGTTTGTATGTGGTGCTGAGGATCCAACCCGGGCCGCACGCATGCCAGGCGAGCGCGCTACCGCTTGAGCCACATCCCCAGCCCAGCAATAAACTTCTTAATCTTGCAGAAGTTTCTAAACAGCATAGCATTCAGGTGGTGGCATGGATATTGCTGGTGGCTTTTCGTCAAACTTAATTAAAATTCAGGAGCAGAAAGACTTGGAAAAACTTGGACTCAAAGGTGGAGTAAAACTGGGACTAAGGAAGTTGCAGTTGTTAAAGGGATTGCTGCCACTAAAGAAATGCTAAAAGCCTTTACCCAGAGGTTATCAGAAAGATGACCTGAGGACATCACAGGAATTGGCAAGATCATATCCATCTCAGATTCAAGGAAGTAAAAGTAAAATTCTTTTGAGAAGAGACAAGTGGGATACTCTTCTTACACAAGGGGCCTAGGAAGTTTTTTCAATGTGCTCAGTCACCCAGACACTCAGAGGCTGCTGCAGCCCTGGTTCCTAGAAGCTTTACTACTACTTTAGAGGGTGTCAGCCACAAGGTGCTGGTTCTGCAGGTCATGGAGGTCCACGGAGGTTTCCACCAAGATTTCAAAGGAAGGCATGGGAGGCCAGGCAAAGTACAGCAGGGTCAGAGTCCCTGCAAGCAACTCCTGAGAGGGCAAAGTATGAAGAGGAATATCAGGAACCGCTCTGGAAATACATGCCCTTAAGTCCTGAGCAAGAGATACTTAACAATTATTGTGCCCCTCAATAACTTGGGCTTTACCTTTGCGCCGATAATGAGGCATGGCTCCAGGAGTAGATGTTACCTGGGGGGGTTGAGTTAGACTCACCTATTCCTTTGTAATCCTACCCATTGCCCTGTTTTTGGATAGAATGTTCTAAGAAACAGTGTCCCCCAATTAAAGCCAACTCCAGAATGTGTGTTTGCGCTTTCTCTCTCATCAGCTCCTCATGACTCCCACCCCCACCTCCACTCTGTGGGGGAGCCTGGGAAGCTGTTCTGAAACTTATAAAAAAGTATTCCATGTCTGCGTGGTATTTTGTGTCATCCCAAATTCACTAACTGACTTTAGTTCAGTTACCTGCACTGGACGGGGGCAGCAGAGGAATCCAAAGCTGCAGTGGAGACCCCAAAATTAAGAAATGCCACTAACATAGGACGTCATCCTACGAAAGCTGCAGGAATTGAGCAAAGACAAGCCAACAGAAAGGCCCTTATGGCTACAACCAACAAGGATATGAGGCGGATCTATACAAGCCCTTTGGACAGAACATCACCATGCCATGGGCCCCAGAGGCCATATGTGGAGCTACAGGATTTGTTTGTCCAGCTGGATTTGGGTCTTGCTTTGGTGCCATCCCTCCTTTCTATGCCCTATTTTTGTGAATGGAAATGTTTACTCTGTACCTTTGTATACTAGACACTTGTAAATTGCTTTTGATTTTTATAGGAGCTCACAATGCAAGCTTGCCCTGAATCTCAGAGGAGACTTTGGACTTGAACTTTTGGACAATCTTGGAACTGTTGAGAATATGAGGACTATTGGAAATGGACAAAGTGTATTTTGCATTGTGAAATGGTCATGAGCTTTTGGCAACCAGGAGCAGAATGTTATGGTTTGGATGTGAGGTGCCCCCCCAAATGAGAGTCTTAACCCAATCAGTGAATTAGTCCCCTGATGGGATTAACTGAGTGGAAACTGAAGGTGGTGGGTAGAGTGTGGCTAGAGAAGGTGATCCCTGGGAGTGTGCCTTTGGGGCATATATTTCGTATGTGGAGTAGACACTCTGCTTGATCATCATGTGAGCTGCTTCCCTCCGCTAAACTCTCCCACCATGATGTTCAGCTTCCCTCAAGCCCCCAGGAATGGAGCTGACTGACAATGGATTGAGACCTCTGAAATCATGAGCCCTTAAATAAACTTTTCCTCAAGTTATTCTTGATGGGTCTTTTAGGCACAGCAGTGAAAAGGCTGACTAAAATAGGGCTGAAGATGTACTTCAGTTGTAGAGTGCCCCTGGGTTCAATCCCCAATACACCTCCCTCTCTCTCTCTCACACACACACTCACACACACACACACACACGCACACACACACACACAAAGATGGGAAAAAGAAAAATAAACAAAACTGTTAACAGCGGTTAAGTGGTTACCCCATAAGGGAAGATGCACAAGTTTTTTCTTTAAATTTTATCTCTATTTTATGTTTTATTTTTATCAATTTATTTATTTATTTATATTGAGGATTAATCTCAGGGGCACTTAACCATTGAGCCCTTTTTTATTTTTTGAGATAGGTCTAGCTAAATTGCTGAGGCTGGCCTAGAGCTTGTGATCCTCCTGCCTCAGCGTCCCAAGTCACTGGGATCACAGGTATGCATACCACTATGCTCAGCTTCTACACAATTTCATTTTTTAAACTATGTCCATATATATTGCTTATATAAGTTTTAAAGCTTACTTTTTAAATTTTTTTTTAGTTGTCAATGGATCTTTATCTAATTAATTTATTTATATGTGGTGCTGAGAATTGAACCCAGTGCCCCTCACACACGCTAGGCAAGTGCTCCACCACTGAGACATGACCCCAGCCCGTAAAACTTACTTTTAAAAACAAATCTTAATACTTTACTATGACTTCAGGGCCAAATGTCATGGTCTACATCTGTAATCCCAGCAATTTGGGAGGTTAAGGCAGGAGGATTGCAAGTCCAAAGCCAGCCTCAAAAACTTAGTGAGATCCTAAGTAACTTAGCAAGACCCTGTAGCAAAATTACAAATAAAAAGAACTGGGGATATGGCTCAGCAGTTAAGTGCCCCTGGGTTCAATCCCCAGTACAAATAAACTATGACTTCAAAGAGCAAGGTCTATGGATATTACATTTGTTTTAAGTCACAGTCATTGAACACATTTGGCACTCAAAAGATATTTATGAATGGTGTGTGAGGTTGTAGCTCAGTGATAGCACACTTGCCTAGCAAGTGGGGTTTGATTCTCAGCACCATATATAAATAAATAAAATAAAGGTCCATCAACAACTAAAAAGAAATATTTTTTAAAAAAAGGTATTTATGGATGAATGAAGAACCTGTTAAATGGAAGAGTATACAGATATAGACATTAACTAGAGTAAAAATTAGTTTTGAAAATGTGAAAAGATTTATGGATGCAGGAAGCTGAGGTGGCTGGGTTTAGTTTATTTAGTTTGCTTGGGTTTTTCTTTTATTTTGTTTTGGTACTGGGGATTGAACCCAGGGGTATTTTACCACTGAGCTGTATCTCTAGCCCTTTTATTATTTTTTTTATTTTGAGGCAAGGTCTCATTAGATTGCTTAGGGTCTTGCTAAATTGCTAAAGCTGGCCTCAAATTTGCAATCCTCCTGCTTCAGCTTCCACTGGAATTATAGACCTGCACCCTGCTCTTGGCCTAAGGTGACACGCACACACACACACACACACTTGGTTCTAAGAAGGACCAAGCCCAGATACAGGCAAGAGGAAGTCCTTGGGTTGGTTATAAGCCTGTCCCTAATATCTTTTGTCTTCCAACCTCAGTGAGGACCAGAATCTCTGAGCCCTACCCTACATTCTTAAGAGAAACTCTGAAAGCAGAAGAGGCTTTCCACCAAGAGGAAGATGGAGAACCATCCTAGAGATTTATTATAATCTGTTTCCTCTTTGGCTCTTGCTCTATCACATATATGTAAATCTCAAATAACCAAGCATCCCAAACATAGATCTTATAAATAAATCAGTAAGAAGTTAGAAGCCCCCGGCCAACCCCGTCTACTCTTCCTCTATCCTGCTATCTTGATGAAGCACCAAAGTCAAGTGCACAGTAGGAAGACATAAAGTATGAAGAGGAACACTTAATAAAGAACTTTTATAGGGGCTGGGGATGTGGCTCAAGTGGTAGCGTGCTCGCCTGGCATGCGCAAGGCACTGGGTTCGATCCTCAACACCACATAAAAGTGAAGTGAAGATATTGTGTCCACCTAAAACTAAAAAATAAATATTTAGGGGAAAAAAAAAAAAAGAACTTCTAGGGAAGTTCAGAGATCTCAAAGGACCCTGGTGCACAGCCAAAGAGCTGACAAGGTCCAGACCACGACTCTTCAGAGCAACAGAAAGCAGTTATAATCTCCTCTCAGCTCTGCTGTCACAGAAAGTTAATTACTTGTTGCATCAGCACTGTCAGAATCATCCTGGGGAGAGAAAAAAAGACAAAGCACCTGTAGGCTCTACAAAAAATGAACATTTATGTTTATAAATGCTGCTCGCGGCTGCCTACTCTCCATGTTTCCTTTCTGTTACCTTCTAAAACATACTTCTTAGGAGGCTAATAATGAAGGATTTTAACTTTGGATAATAAAATAAACCCTGGCACTCAATAAACAGCACTCTATTATGCATCACTTAGTTCCAGAATTTCAATAATTCTACTAATCCTACAGCTGTAAAGATGCTCAACAAGACCAGATCTGCTCTAGGATGGTGAAGGAGGGAGGGAGATGGAAGGGAGGACGCTCTTGGTTTTCTAAAACTTGCAGAACATTTGTCAAATTCAAATTTGGTTAATATGCACTGAGAACTATTGTGTGCTAGAGACCGGGATAGAAACTTTCTAGTGTGTTATTTTTTAAGGCCTAAAAAGAAACTGAAGAGTGGCGGGAAAGGCATTACTTACATCCAGGTCATCCATGGCAGGTGGAGGTCTCTTGGTGCTGACCTTTTTCAAAAGCTAATGGGAAGAAAAAATAGTCCCAAGAGTCAAGGAGGGTGAGGGAAGGATAACCTGCATACTGATGGACTACAGAAGAATGGTTCCAGCCAGAGCCTGCCAGACAACTACTCCCATCTTCAAAACCTGTAACACATCACTGAAATTAACTGGAGCCTGTCAGGTAGTGCATGTCTATAATCCCAGCAGCTCAAGAGGCTGAGGCAGGAGTATCGTGAGTTCAAAGCCAGCCTTAGCAATGTAGTAAGGCCCTAAGCAATGCAGAGAGACCCTGTTTCTAAATAAAATATTAAAAAATAGCTGGGAATGTGGATCACTGGTTAAGTTCCCCTGGGTTCAATCCCCATACAAAAAAATTAAAAAAACAAAAGTTCATTGTAAAAAAAGTAAACTTAAATACACATAGTCTTTACCCTTACTAATCCAGATTCATATCCCACCCCCTTCTCAACAGTGCTAGGGATCAAACCCATGGCCTCACACAGTCTAGGCAAGCACTACCACTGAGCTACATCCTCAACCCATGATACACACTTTATACTGTTTGGTGTTAGCTTCCCATGAAATGTTCTGGCTCAGGAAGAAAAAAAAAAACACAAAGAAAATAAAAGACAAGAATGTAAGTACTATGGGAAGCAATTTTGCTAAACTTGTTCAGAACACAGGCTACTCTATGAATAGTAATTGAATCTATATATAATTTCACACTAATGTTTATTCCTCTCATCCCTACTAAACACTGCATGAAATGTGTAAAGAGTAACAGCACCAATGAATAACCTACTAAGGATGCTTGACTATCCCTGCTTGGTCCTGATGACACTTCTCCAGAGAAATGTATGCAGAAAGACACAGAGAATGACCAAGATGGGCAAAACCCAGCAAGTGCTATATCTCTTACCTCTGCATAATGCTCCACGTGAGCCAGCTCTACCTCTTCATCCCCTTCCCAGTCTCTCCAGTTATCGAAGTCCACAGACAGCCACACTGGCTTCAAGAGGAAATACAGAGAGTCACAGGCAGGAAGAGCAGCATCAGGAATGCATGAAAAGATTATCAGTATGTGCATAGAAGGGTAAGAGGGTCAATGCGGTATAGTATTCCCAACAGCATCCCTTCTGACCAACTCCCCTCCAGGCTGACATGTTGTCATTGGCATCCACAAATATTTACCAAAAATCTATTAGCTGCTGAGCACAATGCCAGAAATGACAGGATCTGTAAAAGCACAGAAGCCCTGCCCTTAGGGGGACAACACATCTGGAAAAATATCATAAAGCATCATAGGAGTTAGTCAATCAAGACAGACAAGTGGCATTCCCTGGAATCAGAGGTGACACTTTGAGGCCCATGTTCCAAAGTGTCCTCATTTATATAGGGAAGACATCATTCACACATTCATTTAACAATATTTATTGAACATACACTATGGGTCAGACTCTGAGTTTGGTACTGGGATTATAAAAATGTTCAACAGACTGTCTCAGCCATCAGGAAGAAAGTGGGGGAAAGATACATTAAAAAAAAAAATCCACAGACAGTCTTGCACACAGTGTGAAAAGTATGGTGGTAGGATGAAACAGGGGATACCATGGGAACCCAGAAAGAAGGTAGGGGAACCCATACTTCTTGGAATAGCAGGGCCTTTAAGGATATGCAGGGGTTAGGTAGGTGAAGGCAAGAATGGTGGTAGATTTTCAGGAAAAAGACATGGCTTGAGCAAAATTACAAAGGTGAGGAAAACCTAGTTTGTACAACAAACAAACAAACAAACAAAAAAACCACAGAAACAAAACACTGCAAATAGCTTGCTGTGTCTGGAATGTAAACATGGAGCCAGAAAGTATGGGATGGGATTCTTGCCTTGCTACAGTACTTGGAATTCAACCCAAAGGGCAGGAGTTACAGCTCAAATACCTAAAAAAAAGGTCAGGGAGGTAATGAAAAAGAGTAACCTGAGGTGAAGTGTATACCCCATTTAAAGCTTCTGTTCAGCATTTGGGAATTTATATTAGCATAACCAGATTCTCCCAAATTGCAAAGAAGCTAATAATATGAATTTGTAGATAAAATATCTTACATTTTTAAATGCCAGCAAGCAATAAAAAATGTAAATGTAACCAATCAAAACAATTTTTATGCCAGGTAATGGTAGTGCACACCAGTGATTCAGGAAGCTGAGGCAGAAGGATCACAAGTTCAAGGCCAACCTGAGCAATTTAATGAGACTGTGTCTCAAAAATAAAAATAAAAAATTTTAAAAGGGTTAGAGATATAGCTCAGTAGAAGAGTATCTGCCTAGCATGCATGAGGCTCTGGGTTCAATCTCTAGTACTAAAGGAAAAAAAAATTGACACTGTGAAAAATATTAAAATAAATGTGAAAAAAGTCAGATTCATCCAGCAGGTGGCCAATTTTCAAGCTTTGGGTTTTTTGTGGTTGTTGTGTTTTGGGTATTAGGGACTGAACCCAGGAGTGCTCTATCATTGTCCTAGATTAACATCCTTTTTATATTTTACTTTGAGGCAGGGTCTCACTAAATTGTCCAGGTTGACCTTGAACTTGTGATCATTCTGCTCAGCCTCCCAGTAGCTGGGATTAAAGGCATGCATCACCATGCCCAGCTGAACTTTCAATCTTAAGGGGAGAAGCCACTGGAGGGTCTTATGTGGGAAAGTGTTAAGGTTAAGGTATGTTTTAGACAGTCTGCTTGGAGCAACACAGAGGATGGATTGTGGATGGGGCAAAAAATATGCAACAAACTTCCCCAAAGGGGCTGGGGTTGTAGCTCAGGGGTAGAATGCTTGCCTAGCACGTGTGAGGCACTGGGTTCCACCTTCAACACCACATCAAAATAAATAAAATATAGGTTTTGCATCCTTCTACAACTAATAATAATAATAATAGTAAAAACTTCCCAAAAAATACTGACGGAGGAGGTCTGAACCAGGAGGAAGTAATAATTTCAAAAATATTTAGGAGGTCAGCCAGGTATAGTGGTGACTGAGGCAGGAGTATCACAAGTTAGAGACCAGCCTCAGCAATTTAGTAAGACCCTATCTCAAAATAATAAATAAAGACTGTCTTTCCCTCTGGAGATAGCCTGCATTCTCCCTTGAATGTGTATTCCTTGCTTTACACCCAAGGCGTCTCTCTTGAGATTGTCCCCATTCTTCCTTTAATATATGTTTACTTTCCTAAATAAACCTCCATCTTTGTTTTGTTTTTTTGTTTGTTTTTTGGTACCGGGAGTTAAACTCGGGGTACTCAACCACTGAGCCACATCCCCGGCCTTATTTTTGTATTTTATTTAGAGACAGGGTCTCACTGAGTTGCTTAGCGCCTCACCATTGCTGAGGCTGGCTTTGAATTTGCTATTCTCCCGTCTCAGCCTCTCCAGCCGCTGGGATTACAGGAATGTGCCACCGCGCGAGGCTCCATCTATATTTTAAAAAATTAAATAAATAAAAATAAAAAGGGCTGGGGATGTAGTTCAGTGAGAGAGCACTCTGGGTTCAGTTCCTAGTACTGGGGATGTGGGTGAGGGAGGGCAGTATATTGAGTAGGAAGCAGGGCCTGATGAGTCATTGAATATTAACTGGAAAGGAAGCAAGGGCAATCCCAGAGGATGAACATAAACAGAGAGCACACAAGGAGCAAGCCACTCCCCACACACCTTGATATCTTCCTTGGTGAGCCGGGGCCAGGCCACCTTCTCCTTCCATTTCCTCACAAAGCAAGTAATAGAGCGGCCGGACCTCTTATCCTGGGAATCCTGCCAGATAGAAAGCCTCATTCTTAGGGTCTGAGTTTTCATATGAATCTCCTGGGCACCTTTTCCATCCAAACCTTACTTGACGCACCCCACCCTCACCTTGGAGTTCACTTTGGCGTAGAACTCAATCTCGTTGTACAACTCCACTCCATCACCATTCCTGCAGCTACGGAAATAATGAAATTGAGATGTGGGAGCCTGGGGGTGGGGGTGCGGATTAGGAAAACAGAAGTTCCTGGGAAGCGAGCCCCTTCATAGAGGAGGGCCATTACCTGAACACAATGCGATGATCCTCAATGAGCACATGGACATCCGTGCTGTCCTCAACACAAAATTCCATAAACACATACTTGGGCCTGTCATACCACAGGGTCCGGGCATGCTGCCTGAGAGGAGTGTGGTGGGGCTTCATAAGTGTGGGGAAGGGAATATAGGGCAGTTGGGTAAGATGAGGGATGGGACCTTAAAGGAACGTTCGGTGCCGCAGTTCTGTTAAAGTGGAGCAATACAAGACAGAGGGGGAGGAAGGGAGTGACGGGAGTGCGTAGATGTGGTGAGGGTGAACCTAGGTCGAATCAAAACTCACCCTACAAGTTACAGAGTTCTGGGGTCTTGGGCTCCCATGGGCCTCACTGAACCTGGGGTGCGCACTAGACTGGAAGGGAATCTCCAGGGAAAAGGGCGGAGGGAAAGGGGCAGTACCAAGGCCGGAAACACTTACCGTGCCATGGCTGCTCCACCTGCCCAGTGGCATTTGGAGTCCCAGGCAAAAGCCTCTATCTTTAGATACTGGGGACGCCCCCAGCAGCTGCCTCTCCTTATATGGTCGAGGGAAGGGTTGAGAGGGTGGGGAATGTGGCTCCACTGCCTAGAGATCTGCACTCTGGAGGGATTCTGGGAGAGTTTAAAACCTGTAGACTTTAACCTCTCAAAATCTACAGAAATGTACAGATGAGGAATAAACTGTGCACCCGCTTAAACCAGGAAAGGGCCATCCTAGACTCTGTACACAGGGAATGGCGTGTGCTCGGCTTCATTTACCTGTTTCTCCAACTTTTAGTACTCTCTGCCTAATTCAGAATAGGCGCTCAGGAGAAAATTATTGGCTCGAAAGAAGTCCCTGAGGGGCGTACTGCCCTCGGGAGGACTGCCCTCGGGTACGACCCAATTTTAAGCCCCGCCCTCCACTCCTCCCCTTTTTCCCTGCCTGCGCGCCGTTGCCATGGCAGTAAGGGGGCGCGGCTGACGTTCAGCAGTGTTTCCGGAAAGATGGCTGCTGTGGACGCTGCTGAGGAATCGGTAGCGGTGGTGGCGGCTGTTGAGGCAAAAGCAAAGAACGAAGAGGAGGAGGAAGAGGAATTGCTGCCACCATGCGAGGCGGTGCGCTGGGCCCCAGTAGGGGCGGTGGCCGAGACCGGGCCTGGGGTGTCTGCATTTTCGGAAGAGGCGGCAGCCGAGGAGCCCGGCACGGCCCGGGGTTCCCCGCCGGACTCGCCCAGCTGTACCTTGCGGCGGTTGCGGGCCGAGCGGCGGCGGCTGGATTCAGCGCTACTCGCGCTGTCCTCGCATTTCGCGCAGGTGCAGTTCCGCCTGCGCCAGGTGGTGCGGGGAGCACCGGCGGAGCAGCAGCGCCTCTTGCGCGAGCTGGAAGAATTCGCCTTCCGCGGCTGCCCTCACGTCCTGGGTTACGAGGGGCCCGGGAACCCTGCCAGCGACGAGGGCGACAGGCTGCCCGGGGACCGGCCACGGTTGCGGGGCGAGGACCAGGTGAGCCGCCGGGGCTGGGCCCCAAGAGATTTAGGAATAGGGAGTTAAGTGAGTGGCGTTGCTAACGCAGACGGAAGTATAAAGGAGAGAACAGATTCAACTAGGCGGTTATGGATATGTCAGAGACAGGGAGACTGGAGCCAGATGTGGATGGCATAAGAGAACTAAGCGGCCAGGGAACTTGTGAGAGGTGCATACTGAAGGTATGGGAAAAGTGCTCTGATGATGCGAGGAGAGGGAGCAGAGTTTTGAGAAGACAACGGGACAACGAGTGCAGCGGTGCTCCCACTTACCTTACCCGCTCCTCATTAAAAAAAAAAAAAAAAAAAATCCTGGCCACCTTTTTTGGTGCTGGAGATTGAATCCAGCGCCTTGCGCTTGCTACGCACGGGATCTATCATGGAGCTACACTCTCAGTCTTAAACACTTTTGTTGATGGGGTACTCTGACTATGGGGATTAGAATTGGAAAGTGAACTGGAATCCGTGGAAATTTAGATTAATTTCTGTGCTTTCCTGTAAATCTAGGTAGTCTTTAATCTTTATACCCTCTTATCTGGTGAGAACTTGGATGAACAGCACAATCTCCTATTAACTGAAAAAAACATGACACCTGATTATATAAATTTCCTAACATTGGGGCTGGGGATGAGGCTCAAGCAGTAGCATGCTCGCCTGGCATGTGTGCGGCCCGGGTTCGATTCTCAGCACCACATACAAAGATGTTGTGTCAGCCGAAATCTAAAAATAAATATTAAAAAATTATCTCTCTCTCTCTCTCTCTCTAAAAAAAAAAAAAAAAAAAAAAAAATCCTAACATTGGTATTTTCAAACTGCTCTTTCATCCTGCTTAATAACTAGATATTCTAAATGAGGTCCTCTAGTAACTGACAAGATGGATTCAGTTTCCCTGCGTTGAGAAGCAATGAAACTATGTATTCCACACCAAGAAAAAGTTTCCTTACAAGTTTTGAATCTCTGGAAGTGAATTCATGTAGGTAGCTTGTTGGAGGCGTTGAAACACACTGCCTTTTTACTCTTCAAATTACAACTCACGTGTGGCTTTCTTCCCACTCAAATTGATTTTAGCCAACAAAGTTTATCAGCAGCAGATATTGACTTATTTTAATCAGAACAGTTTTCAGTGCAATCCTGTATTTACTGTTCCACCCTTTTTTCCACATCCACAGATAAGTACACAAGGAATAGCCACCTTAAATTGCCAGACTTGAAGATTAGAAAAGAGAATTAGTTTTGCAAGGTCCATTTCAGGATGGAAAAGCACCAAAGATTCTATGTGAATATGGCACACTTCATTGTTCATTTTCACTTTCAGAAACAGTGTAGCACTATTTATTTTAAAAATGTTTTTAATCAGTTGTTTTTTGCAGTACTGGGAATTGAATTCAGGGGTGTGACTCCCACTGAGCAAAGTCTCCAGCCCTTTTTATTTATTGATTTTTGTTTATTTATTTATTTATTTTTGATACTGTGGAATTAAACCCAGGGGTGCTCTACTACTGAGCCTCCCCAGACCTTTTATATTTTTTCTTTTGAAACAGGGCCTAAGTTTCCAAGGCTGGCCACAAACTTGCTGTCCTCCTAACTAGGGTGGTGGCTCATGCCTGTAATCCCAGTGACTTAGAAGGCTGAGGCAAGAGGAGGCCAGCCACAGCAATTTAATGAGACTCTGTATCAAAATTAAAAATAAAAAGTGTTGGAAATATGGCTCAGTGGTAGAGTGTCCCTGACTCAACTTCGCACTCCTGACTCAACCTTCCAATTCACCAGGATTATAGGCATGTGCCACCATGCCCAGATGGTTTTTTATTTTGAGACAGGGTCTCACTAAATTGCTGAGGCTGGTCTTGAACTTGAGATCCTTCTGCCTCAGTCTCTCAGGGTAACACTTAAAAAAAAAAAAAAAAACTAGCGGGTCTACCTAATAAACAGATAGAATCTTATGTGCATATGTTGACCTGTGAACAGGTAGTAACTAAGTGGGGGACATCTTTGAACTGAATAATTTACTTATTGGTTCCATTTTGTTGTTGTGTTGGTGATAGTGCTGGGAATGGAACCAAGGGCCTCACGAATGCTAGGCAAAGCCATATGACTGAGTTACATCCCCAGTCTCCCCAATTTTTTTAAGCCAATATTGTATCTCAGTTCACACTAGGAATGATATCTATTATTTCCTGCTTTGCACCAGAGCTCATTGTTCTCTCCTATTAAATTTATTGCCCCACACTCCAGCAAATATCATACCATAGCTACCATAGCAAGAGATAGAATTCAGCAGATTTAGTCCTGAAAACAGAATTATGATTTATGTCTGATTTCTTTCTTCTTTGGCTTCACAAAGTTGGGATACAATGAAAACAGAAATAAAGTCTATTTTCCCAGGTCTTTCTCCTTAGGCTAGTTAGATAACTTCCTTCAGTCAGAGTTCATTATTTGGAATTTGTCATTCACTACCTAATTTAGTTCAGTAACATGTAACAAATAGGTACTGAGAAGCCAGGAGCAGTGGTACACACCTGAAACCCCAGTGACTAAAGAGGCTGAGGTGGCAGGAAAATCTCAAGTTTGAGGCTAGCCTCAGCAACCTGTGGAGATCCTGTCTCAAACCAAAAATTAAAAAAAGACTGGAGATATAGCTCAGAAGTACATCACCCCTGGGTTCAATCCCCAGTACTGGGAGGAAAAAAAAGTACTGAGAACTCATCCTATGCTGGTCACTGTACTTGGTATTGGTAATCAAAGTCAAGGCCCTTACCCTTAAGAAGCTGAGAAATTACTGGAGGCAGAATCATAAAAGTGTGTGCAAAATACTGAGGAGGAAATTATTCATCCTGCCTGGAGAAATCAGGAAAACTTCTTAAAGGCAAGCTAAGACTTTACGAAGTAGGGGAAAGAGGACAGGATTCCAGGAAAAAACTGTAACAGAAAGGTTTGGAGAAGGGTATCCTAAAGAAAGACTTGCTTTTGTGTTGAGCAAAGCTAATGCAAGAGGATTGCTTTATAAATACTTGAACGAAAAGTTAAATTTGTTGCTTTTCATTTTTTTCTCTCATGCATTACTTCTGGAGGGCTTGGTAAGTACCTTTTTAAGGTTAAATTTAATACTGTTATAGACTTCTAGTTTAAAATGTAGCCTTATACCTACAAATAACTTGCCGGTTTAGCTTTTTTAAATTTTATTTTTTTAAATTTATTTGTTTTGCAGTGCTGGGATCAAATCCAGGGCCTCAGATATTCAGGAGAAGTGCTCTACTTCTGAGCTATGCCCCCAGCACCTGCTTTTTTGGTTTTGATAGTCAAGAAAGGCAAGGAAAAGCCAGTATCTAAGAATATATTAGCAGCACTTTACCATCTTGAAGATTTTTTAATAATTTAAGTGTAGAAATTATCTGGTAGCCAATAGCAAAAAAAGGAATTACTTCTAGAAGATCTTAACCAGACTTAACAAAACAAGGGGCTGGGGATACATAACTTAGTAGTAGATTGCATAGGGCCCTGGGTTGGATCCAAAGCACTGCCCACAAATAAATAAATAACAGTGATCCTGACCTTCCCACCCCATTACTTGTAGATGTTTCTCATTGGCACCTTCATTTGATTGTTTTAATTTTTTTTAAGTATCCTATAATCTTATCAGAGGAAATGGAGGAGATTTGAACCTTAAGAAAATTGGTTATGAGTTAAAAAGCCTTTCTTTAAACCTGACCCCCAGATTCTCTTGCAAAATTTAGCTGCACAAGGTATTCAGGAGTTAAGCTATGGTCTTTGGTTGTGGATGATGGCATGTTTAATTCCTGGGAGGCACTCTTGGCTAAGAACGGGTTGTCTCTATCCCAACTAGACCTTTAAAAAACAAAAAGTTTTAACAAAAGACTTCTTTGTATTTATATCCTGTTTCCAATAAAGGACAGACACTTTGTGAGTTTTTTTTTTTTTTTTTTTTTTCAGTGCTGGGGATCAAATACAGGGCTTGCATATGCTAGGCAAGTGCTGTATCACCAAGCTATGCCTCCAGCGCCAGAACTTCTTTAAGAAAACATGTATATAATAAATTGCCCTATAGCTGGTGCACCCAGCCTATAGTCCTAGCTGCTGGTGGGAGGTGCTGGAATAAGAGGAACACTTGAGCCCACGAGCCCAAGACCAGTCTGGGCAACACAGTGAGACCTGTTTCAAAATAAATAAATAAATCACCTTGGGTGGAATAATTATTATTACTTTCGACCTATCTTGTCAATTGAGTGTTTCATATTTTCCTGATCATTATTGGTTTGAGGGGGGTGTTTTTATTTTGTTGGCACAGGGGATTGAATATAGGGGTACTTTACCATTGAGCTACATTTCCAGCTCTCTTTATTTTTCATTTTGAGACAGGGTCTCACTATTTTGCTTAGGGCCTTGCTAAATTGCTGAGGCTGACCTCAAACTTGCCATGCTCCTGAGTTTTGGGATTACAGATGTGCATAACCATAGCCAACCAAAAAGATTCTTAATGTGTCCTGAGTTTCTCTTCTGTGAAATGGACCAAGTATTTTTCTTTTCTTAGAGTGAGCGGGAAAAACAAGAGCGTCTGGAAACCCAGAGGGAGAAACAGAAGGAACTGATATTACAGCTCAAGACTCAGCTAGATGACCTGGAAACATTTGCCTATCAAGAGGGCAGTTACGACTCCCTGCCTCAATCTGTGGTCTTGGAAAGACAGAGGGTGAGCAGGCCTCAGAGGCACCTCCATCATTACACAAGGTTAACTTGTCCCTGCCAACATTCCCAGAATAGCTTCTCCAAGTTCAGTTTACCTGTGGCCTCACTGAGAATCCCTACTGGTTCAAATCAAAAGGAAATTTTACTCTCATATAGAGCCATTCTTTATTTACACATGGAAAATACATGTTCAAATTGTTTCTAATAATGTTGCTCGAAAATTTGTGCTGTAATATACCTTGATGTTTTATAGAGTTGTCCTTTGGTTGTCTAAAGTAAGGCAAGAAGAGAAAAGATTTTAAGAAAAATCAGTATACATTCTCTTGGAAACCTTTAGAGGAAACTAAATGTGAGGCTTCTTTGGGTTATTCATACTTTTGTTTTACTGAGTGAAAGCTGATTGTCCTGGTAAAAAAATTACAGTGTGTAAAAGGAGCCATTTCTATCAGAGAGGAACTAAAGGTTCTTGTTATGTTAAAAGTAGTAGAGCCTGATCTTGATCAACAGTTGGATATTCTCACAAATTTGGAGGTCTGCTGAGTTTTGATTTCCATTTAAAGATATACTCCTTGCTTAAGAGTCTTCTTTCTGGGGCTGGGGATGTGGCTCAAGCGGTAGCGCGCTCACCTGGCATGCGTGCGGCCCCGGTTTGATCCTCAGCACCATATACAAACAAAGATGTTGTGTCCGCCGAAAAATAAAAAATAAATATTAAAAATCCAAAAAAAAAAAAAAAAAAGAGTCTTCTTTCTGGGGCTGGGGATGTGGCTCAAGCGGTAGCGCGCTCGCCTGGCATGCGTGCGGCCCGGGTTCGATCCTTAGCACCACATACAAACAAAGATGTTGTGTCTGCCAAAAACTAAAAAATAATGATTATAAAATTCCCTCTCTCTCTCTCTCTCTCTCTGTCTCTCACCTCTCTCTTAAAAAAAAAAAGGGAAAAAAAAAGATTCTTCTTTCTAACCCTTCTTTCTAACCCTTTGAGAATTCTAAAGTGTATGTTCATTGCTTATGGTCCTGATAGGTGATCATAGATGAGTTAATAAAGAAACTGGACATGAATCTGAATGAGGACATCAGTTCCCTATCCACTGAAGAGCTTCGTCAGCGTGTGGATGCAGCAGTGGCTCAAATTGTCAACCCAGCCCGAGTGAAAGAACAATTGGTTGAGCAACTGAAAACCCAGATCCGAGATCTTGAGATGTTCATCAGCTTTATCCAAGGTCAGAGAAGAGATTGGAGATAGAAGGGTGGATGGATGTCATACTAATTATATTTATTCTGAGTACTAATACCTAAAGGTACCAGTTATGTTTTTCTTTTTTCAGACTGGTTCTCTTAGTATTGCCCAGGCTGACCTTGAATTTGTGGGTCTAAGCAATTTTCCCACACCCCAAGTAGACTAGTAGACTATAGGCATACACCACGCACCACTGGCCCTGGCTAAGGTGCTAGTTCTTTTTTTTTTTTTTTTAAGTTGTATTGCTTTGCTAGCAAAGGAGAAACACAGGCTGTGATTCCCCCCATCAGCAGGAACAGTGGGCTTTTAAAAGAGGTGATTCAAAGGCTACATTCCACTTGTTTTCTGTTGGAGTTCTAATTCACTTGTTAATATGGGAGATAGTCATTTCTGAGATCTTCTGGTACCATCCCCAAAGTCTGGCTTGCTTTGTTCCTATGGTGGGTGTGTACTCAAGGATAGGTAAATCTGCTTAAAATGGGGAATCCTGTTTTCCCCTGAGATTAGGGACTAGGAGAGATTAGGGAGGAGCAGGGAGAGAGGAAGAGAAAGAAACATGTCCATTTTAAAAATAAGTTGCAGTAGTAGAACAGCAAGGGCTACATTCAAAGCATAAAGTGGACCACTGTTACATTGCTAGTTCTTAATGTACTATTTAAGAGGTCTTACCTGCATGATAGAGTAGAAGGAACATGGGTTTTAGAACCAGGTAAAGTTCCAGTTCTGCCACTTCCTGGCTTTATATCTTTGGGCGGGTTACTAACTGCTTTTGTTTCTTTCAATTATTTATTTATTTATTTATTTATTTTTATTTATATATGACAGTGGAATACTTAAAATTCTTATTACATACATAGAGCACAATTTTTCATACCTCTGATTGTATACATAGTATATTCACACCAATTCGTGTCTTCATACCTGTACTTTGGATAATAATGATCATCACATTCCACCATCATTAATTACCCCATGCCCCCTCCCTTCCCCTCCAACCCCCCCCCCTTTAGTTTCTCTCATCTGAAAAATGATTATTCAAGCTTCATTTACTAAACAAATATTTATTGAGCCAACTACAATATGTCAGTCACTATTTTATGCAATGAAATAAGAATTTATAAGATTTTTGGCATACAGTAGATATCATTAAATATTTGTTAAAATTTTTTTAGTTGCAGATGGACACAATGCCTTTGTTTTATTTATTTGCTTTTTTTTTTTTTTTTTTGAATTTTTTTTTTAGTTGTAGATGGACACAATACATTTATTTTATTTGTTTATGTGGTGCCAAGGATCGAACCCAGTGCCTCATGCATGCTAGGCAAGGTCTCTACCACTGAGCCACAACTCCATCCCCTATTTATTTGCTTTCATGTGGTGCTGAGAATCGAACCCCATGCCTCACACATGGCTAGGCAAGTGCTTTATTACTGAGCCACAACTCCAGCCTGACATCATTAAATAGTATTTTTCCTTTAAAAATTTGCCACATAGACTAAATAACTGTCTCACCTTTGTAACTTCTGATTACAGATGAAGTAGGAAGCCCCTTACAGACAGGTGGTGGACAGTGTGAGTGCAAGGCCAGTGGGAAGACAGGAAATGGCTCCACCAGAACAGGCAGCAGCAGACTGCCTCCAGGAAACATCAAAAGTAAGTGCACCTTCCAGAACAGGAAAGTCCATAGAGACAGAAAGTAGATTAGTGATTGTTTAGGTATGGGGAAGAAATGGGGAAATGCTAATGGTGCAGAATTTTTTTTTGGGGGGGAGGGGGATGAACAAAACATTTTATAATTGATTACCACAATGGTTGCACAACTGAATATAGTAAAAAAAAAACACCAGGGCTGGGATGGGTAGCTTAATGGTAGAATACTTACTTAGCATGCACAAGGCCCTAGGTTCAATTCCCAGTATCAAAAAACAAACAAAAAGAAAACAAACCAAAACCCACTAGATTGTACACTTTAAGTGGGTAAATTATGTGAAGCATGAATTTTATCTCAATGCAGCCACAATTACTAAAAATATAAGTCAGTTCAACTACATCTTAGATGAGTCTTGCCTTTGTGTGTCACACATACTATTGCACAGAAGCAAGACTTGATCTCACCCTGTTACTTACAGAATGTTCCTCTGTGCCATTATGGCCTCCTACTGACCAGCCATTATCTTTTCTAAACAGTGAAGACAGAAGATGTGAAGAGAGTCCGGGAGACAGGGCTACACCTGATGAGAAGAGCGTTGGCTGTGCTCCAGATCTTTGCTGTTAGCCAGTTTGGTTGTGCCACAGGCCAGATCCCTCAAACCCTATGGCAGAGAGGCCAGGCCGACAGAGACTACTCCCCCTTACTGAAGAAGCTGGAGGTATCAGTAGATAGAGTGAAACAGTTAGCCTTGAGATACCAGTCACATGACCATGTTATCACCTCTGCCAACCTCCAGGACCTCTCTCTGGGAGGCAAGGATGAGCTGACCACGGCTGTGCGGAAGGAACTAACAGTGGCTGTGAGGGACCTGCTGGCCCATGGACTCTATGCTTCTTCCCCTGGGATGAGCCTTGTCATGGCCCCCATTGCTTGTTTGTTGCCAGCCTTCTCCTCAGCCCCTGAGACCATGCATCCCTGGGAGCTCTTTGTAAAGTACTACCATGCTAAGAACGGCCGTGCTTATGTGGAATCCCCAGCCCGGAAGCTGTCCCAGTCCTTTGCCCTGCCCGTTACGGGTGGCACTATTGTGACCCCCAAACAGAGTCTACTGACAGCCATCCACATGGTGCTGACAGAGCATGACCCTTTCAAGCGCAGTGCAGACTCAGAGCTGAAAGCCTTAGTGTGCATGGCCCTGAATGAACAGCGTCTAGTATCCTGGGTGAACCTCATCTGTAAGTCAGGATCACTCATTGAACCACACTACCAGCCCTGGAGCTATATGGCCCACACAGGCTTCGAGAGTGCCCTCAACCTGCTCAGTCGCCTCAGCAGCCTCAAATTTAGCCTCCCTGTGGACTTAGCCGTGCGCCAACTGAAGAACATCAAGGATGCCTTTTGATGAGACTGCCTGGACAGCTCCTCACTCTGTAGATGTGTTAGACTTCTAGAATAAGAGAAAGTGGTCTGAGGAGGGATGAAAGACATTTTTTCTATACTCTGCTTAGGTGGCCAGCAAAATATTTTCCCTCCATCAAGTTAGTATCTTGGAAAGATGTGCTGGAGACCCTCTTATTTAAAAGGTTCTCACAACTGGTTGCGGTGGCATATGCCTATAATTCCAGTGACTCAGAAGGCTGAAATAGGAGGATCGTAAGTTCAAGGCCAGCCTTGGCAACTTAACAGAGACTCTGTCTCAAAATAAAAAATGAAAAGGGTTGGGGATATGACATAGTAGCAGAGTGCCCCTGGTTTCAATCCCCAGTACCAAAAAATAAAGTAAAATAAAAAGGTTTTCAGGGTCAGAGGTGTGACTCAGGGGTAGAGCTCCTGCTTAGGATAAACAAGGCTCTAGGTTAGTTCAATAAATAAACAAAATTTTCTGTCTCAGCATGCACTGCAATGTACATGTGGGCATATGTGTTTGAGCCTTTGTAAAAGGAATCAGGGCACACAGCTAATGTCTCAACTTATTGTGCCATATCTGAGATTTAGAAAACTTGGGTTGCTCTAATCATTCCATGGCAGTAAGTAACAACATGAATGAATTGTTGTTTCAGAGATATATTTGTGTTGAGACTCCTGTTAGTCAAGTTGGGAACTATCTTCCTTTATATGAAACAAGTTTGAAATTTAGAAAGTTTAGGTCAAGAATTTAAATTCTTTTTACAAATATTGATTCCTCTTTCTTCCTGATTCCAATATCAGAGAAGACTGTATATTCCAAGGCTTCCTGTAAATTTTAAGAATGTGAATATTTAAGAATAATATTTCTCTCTCTCTCTCTTTTTTTTTTTTTTTTTTTTTTTTAGTACTGGGAATTAAACCCAGAGGCACTTTATCATTGAGCTATACCCGCAACCCTTTTTATTTTTTATATTAAGACAGGGTCTTGCCTAGTTCTTGAGGCTGACCTTGAACTTTTGATCCTTCTGTCTCAGCTCCAGAGTATCTTGAGATTATAGGCATGCTCTACTGCACCTGGTTGAAAATAACTTTTTAAAGGGAGTTAACCACAAGTTAATATAAGCCTCTTTTCTTGAATAGTAAGAACTGAAATCTTCCTGATAAGGTAGTCCTCATAGTGCAAACAGGGTTTTTTTTTTTGTTGTTGTTTATGAGGAATGGGAACCCACGTCTGATATTATGTCCTCTAGCAAGTACTTTCTTCTGTGTTCCTCTCAATAAGACTGACGGTCTGTTGAAGGAAATGTTTTCAAGATATACTTCTCAAGAGAATTCTTGCTGCTCAAATATGTATAGGAGTAGGTATCAATAACTAGGGGCTATGCACCCTGGGTTGTGAATCTCTAAGCACCACTTGTCCTGGAGGCTAAATGATGGAAGAGATCTGATCTTGCAGTGAGGACTGCATTGGGGATTGGAACTATGGCAGATCACTGTTTACAGACCAGTGTTTCATTATTAACTGACTCTAGAGTGGTCCTTTTGGGTCTTCAATATTTTAGCCTTTTTAGTTTCTCTTTCATTCAGCTTGTGGTGGGTACTGCTCCAGGACTGTCCAAAGATGGGTAAAATATATTGCTCCAAACACTAAATATTCAGCATTATTTTCATGTATGAAATTGCCAGCTGCACTTAGTTTCTGCACTATTATGTAGGACATTTTAACTTAAACTTTTCCAGCATCATTACTTATTTAAGGTACATTATTGATATTTCATTAGAATTAGTCTAATTTTCCTATGAAACAAGATAAGTGTAAGGGGCTGGGAATGTAACTTAGAGTAGAGCATTTGCCTAGCACACATGAGGCCCTGGGTTCCATCCCCAGCACCACAAAAAAAAAAAAATTGTGAAAAATGGTACATCTGTGGCTGCTAATAAAATCATAGTATTTTATGTAGTTTCTCTGCAAAGACTGTGAAACCCCTCAACTTTAGTTTATAAGTCTGTCTGGCTTTAACAGTCCATCTGATCCATATCAGTATTAGAAACTGTCTGCTTCACCTCTGTCCTGGATCAACTCAGATTTGGTGACAGTAGTGTTTGGGGTAGGGGGGGCAGTGGCGAGGTGTTGTTGCCACCAGAATAAGTCCACTAAAAACTGCCCCAGACATTATCCCTCTTATGTAACCCTGTAATTCCATCCCCACAATAGATGTTACCACACATGCTGCTTTTAAATTGGAACTTTTAAATCCTTTTGTCTCAAAGTTATTTAGGATAGGTTTATAACCCTAGTGTTGTCTTTTTCTGATTTTCACAAAAACTCAATTACACTAAGTCTTTGTGATGACATGATGGGAAACATTTTTGTGTCATCCTAATTTAATACTTGCTACTTAAAAGAAGGGGACAGTACTTTCTTCACTTTACAGCTAAAGACCCTGAACTGAAGAGGAATATTTTCTCAAGATTTACATGATGACGAAAGAGCTGGAATTTGAATTCATATTGCCTGAATGCAAAGCCTCTGGACTTTTTCATGTTACTTCATTGTATCGTGCAGTTTCTAGGTCTTTTGTTTTTTCTCTCCTATCTACCCCTTTACTCTCACTTTGCAGAGGAAACAATATTTTCTGCATATTTGATAGCAATTTCAGCTGCCAAAGAACTATGCTAACAGGCATTACTCTGCTAAGTCCTTCATGAAACCTAGAGGTGTTTAATAACAGGCAGTCCTACCAGCATTCCAACAGTCAGATGTCTGCTAGGTGCTTGGGGTGAGACAGGACAAGGGAGGGGGAAGGAAGGACAATCAATGCAAGTATAAGGAAATGAAGATTTGAGAAGAAAGAGATGAATTTGTATCCAGCAAAAGGGCTGGGCCTGCTGGGTGTGGTGGAGCACACTTGTAATCCCACCTATTCAGGAGGCTGAGATAGAAGAATCACAAATTCAAGGCTAGCCTAGGAAATTTAGTCCCTGTCTCAAAATAAGGTATGGGGTCAGGCACAGTGATGCACATGTAATTCTAGAAGCTTGGGTGTCTGCAGCAAGAGGATTGAGAGTTCCAAGCCAGCCTCAGCAAAAGCAAGGCACTAAGCAACTCAGTGAGACCCTGTCTCTAAATAAAATACAAAAAAGGGCTAGGAATGTAGTTCAGTGGTCAAGTGCCCCTGAGTTCAATCCCTGGTACAAAATAATAATAATAATCCTAAAAGGCTGGGTGTAGCTCAGTGATAGAGTGCCCCTGAGTTCAAACCAAGTACTGCAAAGGAAAAAAATAAAAGATTACATACTATTTTCCCTTAGGAACAGTCTAGCAAAGGAGATACCAATGTGGAAATTGGGTGAGCTTATTAAAAATAGAGATAACTGGGTCCCACTCCAAGAGTTTTTTATTCAGTAGTTCTGAGGTGGGGCCTGAGAAGTTTCATTTCTAACAGCTTCCTGAGTTATGCTGATGCTGGTGAGGGGGCTGTACTTTGAGAACCACTAATCCAAACTAAGATGTGTTGGGTTCTAGAATAAAGGTAAGTATTCATTGGGTTCCTGAGGGAGCACAAAGAAAAGAGATTAATTCTGCCAGGTAGAATTCTGAAATGGCCTTGAAGAATGGATAGGATTTGAACAAAAGTCCTGGAGAGAAGCCTGGGAATGTAGTGTAGTTGGTAGAGTGCCTCACCTGTACAAGGCGCTGGGTTCAATCCCCAGAACTGCCAAAAAAAAAAAAAAAAAAAGTAGTCTTGGAGAGGAAGAATAGACTCCAGGACTTAGAGATTGATACTTTGAGTGATTTGAGAGGGTATGTGAAGAGCAGGGAAGAGTTCTTCCTGCAGTAAAAATAGGAAAGAAGTGAGAATTCAAACTTTGGAATAGAGAACCAACAAGGGATTTTTGTTTTTCTTTTTTTGGAGGTACTGGGGATTGTACTCAATGGCATTCTGCCAGTGAGCTACTGATGATTTTAATTAGATACAGAGATATAAGTACACAATTAGGGTAATAAACCATAGGAATAGGGTTCTGAGGGCTTCAAGGAAAATTCCGTTGCCAGTCTCAGTAAGATGTGTCTCAAAAAAGGATGGGGATGTAGCTCAGTGGTAAATTAGCACGACTGGGCTCAAAATCTCCCCAGTACAAACAAAAAAAGTGGGACCTGGAATAGGTCCACATGTGCTCGAGAAGAGTCATAGGTTCTTCAGGGGTTTTTTTTTTGGGGGGGATGGGGTACCGAACGCAGGGTCTTTTGCATGCAAGCCAGCACTCTACCAACTGAGCTATATCCCCAGCCCAGTTCTTCAGTGTTCTGATAACTAAAACCTAAAGTTTCTCTAATTTGGAGAACACCTGAAAACACTTCTTCAGTGAGTGATGGCAGACAGTAATGAGAAATAATTAAGGGGGCTGGGGATGTGGCTCAAGCGGTAGCGCGCTTGCCTGGCATGCGGGCGGCCCAGGTTCGATCCTCAGCACCACATACAAACAACGATGTTGTGTCAGCCAAAAACTGAAAAATAAATATTAAAATTTAAAAAAAAAAAAGAAATAATTAAGTGTGAGAGCTAGCTAGACTTTGACTCAGCTACATTTGAATCCCATCTGTGCCAGATTAAGGATCAACCTCAAGTAGGTAACTGATCCTCTCTGGATCATAATTTCATAGTGTCTGAATGGGAGGAAAATACCCAAGATGCAGAGTTGTATTAAGAAGGCTGTCAAACTTTATATAAAGTGCCAAGCATCTTGCATGGCACAGAGCAAGTGCTCAGTATGTTGACAGTATGGATTTAGGAGTCAGAGATTGTGAGTCCAAGACCCAGCTCTACCACTTACTTGTCGAGGATGTGGGCTTTGGGCAAATTTTTAATTTTTTGTAAGGAGTACTGGGGATTTTACCCAGGGACAATTTATCACTTATTTACATCGTCAGCCCTTTTTATTATTTTTATTTTGGTACTAGCGATTGAACCCAGGGACGCTCAACCACTAAGCCACATCCCCAGCCCATTTTTATTTTATTTGGAGACAGGGCCTTCCTTAGTTGCTTAGGGCCTCGCCAAATTGCTGAGTCTGGCTTTGAACTCAAGATCCTCCTGCCTCAGCCTTCTAGCTGCTTGGATTACAGGCGTGGGCCACCCCATCTACAACTTAAAAAATATATATATAAATATTTTAATCAGTTTCTTCAATTGCTGAATGGAAAGATAATAGTATTTATTACCTAATGTTGTTCTGAGGACCAAATCACACAATGTATGAAAATAGATTAACCTGGCCTGGCACAAGGTATTACCCTCCTCTGCCTCCCTCATGCTTATTCTAGTCAGCAATGGATTTGACGTCATTAGACTCTAAATCTTGCAGTCAAGTGCTCTTATTTAATCTTGTCTCTCCCTCCTGTCTCCTGATAGTGCACACAGTGGGCACTAATAAATGTCCTATTGTGTTCCCTTGAGGGGGGGGTCGGGGGAGGAAAATTCAGACTGTGTCCCCCTCCTAGCGTCGGAGAAGAGAACTACGAAAAAGGGGACAGTGGAGCAGACACGCCCTCCCTGCCCTGGCTAGCATAAACCAGACTGGATTTCTTTCATCTACTGCTAGAGCTGCTAATAAACTTTAATTTAAGCCGGGAGCAGTGGCATAGGCTCCCAATCCCAGCAAAACCGAGGTTGAGGCAGAAGGATAGCAAATTCGAAGCAATCCTCCACAATTTAGTGAGACCTTATACCAAAAAATAAAAAGGGGGACTGAGATTGTGGCTCAGTGGTAGAGCGCTCGCCTAGCACGTGTGAGGCGCTGGGTTCCATTCACAGCACCATACAAAAATAAATAAATAAAAATAAAGGTATTGTATCCAACCACAACTTAAAAAAAAAAAGAAAAAAAGATATTGTGTCCGTCTACAACTAAAAAATATATATAAATATTTTAAATAAATAAATAAATAAAAAGGGGCGGGGCACGTGGCACACGCCTGTAATCCCAGCGGCTCAGGAGACTGGTGGGTTCAAAGCCAGCCTCAGAAACCGTGAGACGCTAAGAAACTCAGTTGAGAGACCCTGCTACTAATAAAATATGAAAAAGGCCTGGGGGTGTGGCTCAGTGCTTGAGTTCCCCTGAGTTCAATACCAAGTACCCCACCCCTCAAAAAATTAAATATTGAAAAAATTAAAAGGATGGGCTGGGGTTGTGGCTCAGCGGTGGAGCGCTCGCCTAACACGTGCGAGTCCCTGGGTCGATCCTCAGCACCACATAAAATAAATAAAGATACTGTGTCCAAGTACAAGTAAAAAAAAAAATATAAAATAAAAGGACTGGGTGTATATGTAGCTCAGGGGTAGAGCGACCCTGAGTTCGATCCTCAGTCCACACACACACACACACACAAAGTTGTTCGATTCAACTAAGCAAGCTGCTAAACGCTGCTTTCTCCTCCGAGCTTCCTCTCGCAGTACAAACTGGGCGCAACACACGCATCAAGGCGAGGCCCGAGAGGCGGGCCAGGAAGTGAGGTCACTCCTCCGCAGGGTGAAAGGTTAGCGGAAGTATCCTTTCTTCCTTTCTGCTGTATCCCCGGCTGCTTGCTGTCGGTGAGTAGAGGTTCGCTCAGGGACTTCAATCCGCATCCATCCTCGGCTTGCGGGCTGAA